CAGCCGAATCATCAGAAGTTCTGCAGGTATTGTGAAGAAACAAGCGAGGATAATAGCGAAAATGGCAGATCATGGAAATAAATGTTATGTTCCGGGCTGTGCAGGGGATGTGATGTGCAGGGATGGGTTGGTGTCTGTACGGAAAACAAATAACACACATTCTAATAAAATACTGCCAGCCACTAAAGGGACATGGTTAGCCGCTTACTAGCGATAGCCTGTTGCATTACAGTACATGAAAGTTCACTTACCACATACACAGAGTAAGGAGAAATGTCTGATAGGATGATGGCGAATGATTTGCAGATCCTGAGCACCAATGAGTAATCATTACATAAGAGTAATCCCTTATTTACTTTTTCAAGGGAAAAGTAATTCAATTACAGTAACTAATTACTTAGTAATTAGTTACACCCAACATAAGTGATATCACACGAGCAGCGAGAGCAATATCACACGAGTGCTGTTTATGTCCGAATAGCACGAGTGCAAATGTGATTTTACACAACGGTTCAGTAAATAAGTTAATATTGTGTTGTATTTTAAACACAATATTGTCTGTTTTTGCTCCGTTTTGCTAACAAAAATATTACCTATAAAGCCACAGCAGAACTGTTGTGTGTCTCCGAGCAACACAGCGGTGTTTAGTGTCTGAATGAATCCGCGTTTTGAACGAATCAGATGAATCAATGATTCAAAGGCCCATTCATAAAGAGAGACAGCCGTTTACTTAATTCCTGAATGAATCAGCCGTTTGAACGAATCGAATTAAAAACTCATAAAGACATTTACCGCCTCCTGCTGGCAGTTTTAGTTTCTTATTTAGAGTATTATTTCATTAAAAAAAGGAAAAAGGGAATAGTTCACCCAAAAATGAAAATTCTGTCATTAATTACTCACCCTCATGTCATTTCAAACTCGGAAGACCTTCGTAATTAAGAACACAAATTAAGATATTTTTGATGGAATCTGAGAGCTGTCTGACCCTCCCATAGACAGCAACGCAACTGAAATGTTCCCAAGTCCAGAAACGTAGCAAGGAGATCTGTAAAATAATCCATGTGACATCAGTGGTTCATCCGCAATTATAAGAAGCTACGAGAATACTTTTTGTGCGCAAAAGAAAAAAAAAAAGACTTTATTCAACAATTCGTCTCCTCCACATCACCCTAGCGCCATTTTGGAGAATATCTGCTGGACGTAAACAACGTATGTTGTTCTGTGTCAGATGAACGAAGGTCTTACGGGTTTGAAACGACATGAGGGTGAGTAATTAATGACAGAATTTTCATTTTTGGCTGAACCAACCCTTTAATTATGCCATCATTTACTCAAACCTGAATGACTGACCTTCTTTTGTGGAACATAAAAGAAGGTATTTTGAAGACTGTTGGTAACAAAGCTATTTTGGTTACCAATGACTTGATGTTTTTTTTGGGTAAATGCATCAGTGGTTGCCCTCTAGAGTGTAGGTACAGAGGCAGAGTATTTATACATGTTTAGTACCGAGACACAATCCCGTACTATGCTTTTTTTACTGCTCAGGTGAGGAGATCTCCGGCTCTGACGGCAGTGGATCAGATGACATGGATGAGGGTGAAGATGGAGGCGAGAGACGCAGGAAACGAAGAGGTATGAATCTCCACTTATCGTTCCCGTTTCATGACTGGGCAACATTAGTCAGAGATGTCTCTTAGAAAGATGATGCAGACCGTGGTTTTGGCTTTTAGCCACAAGAGCTGCTTCAAATGATTGTCTTCATAGTCAGGAGCATTTTGTTGTTTTTGTCTTTGAGTTCATTAATGCTGTTTTACAGCAAAACATCAAGACGTTAAACTTTCGTTCAGGATTATTTATAAAAACGTATACAGTGATGTCATCTAGGTTTCAATTGCCGGATATCAGAGTATTAGTGGAGGAAGAAACAATGTGGCTTTGGTTTGCTTGTCTAGACCATCAGATCAAACAAATGTAGTATCATTGTGCGTCATGAACTCAAAACAGTTAATGCCTGGCAATGACTCTCTGGCTGCGTTTACACTGGCACAAAAAATCCGATCTTTCGCTCACATCTGACACAGATCGGAATTTGTTGCACACGTGTAAACACAAAAACCCGCATGAGATCCGATTTTTTTGCATCCGATCTGAGCCACTTCCAAATGTGGATTTTAATCGGATACACATCTGATATCTGGACATCCGACCTACGTCTAAACACGCATATCCGATTCTCCACAGAACTCCCAATGCGAGGGCGACACGTTTGCTCATAAAGATTTTTAATGCCGTTTTAATGCCGACGTGCTGTATGCGCTCGCATTTTACTGAGATGGAAACTTTTTATAAGTAAGAAATTGCACATTCAGGAGCTGGTTTTCAACCCCCGCTTCGTGAATTTTGAAAATACAACAGCTAAAAGCTACATATATTTCTCAGCAATGAGGTGATAACTTAGCAGTTTTTGTAATTAAACCGACAAGCTTGTTTGCAGTGCTTCACAATCGCTCGCTCGCACGTGGGTTGCATGCGTTCGTTCGTTTGTTCTTTCTCTCTCTCTCTCAATTCGAATTCATTTAAATAAATATCATCTTTATTTCACTAAAGAATTCTACCTCTAACGAGCTGTAGATAAAATAGTCTAACAAATTAAATTGCCGTTATTTTCCGGTCTTTATCCGTTCAGTCAGATTTTGTGCTGCAAAACATCCATGACAGCCGTTGTCCATGCTGGCAAATAATAATGGCCATTCGACGTGAATTATATAAATAATTTTAACGGCCATTTAAAACCCGAGGGTCTACCATGTGCATAGTAAAGCGATCACTGCAGACAATCCTTTTGGGTGGGAATTAATGTAAACACAGATATCGGATACCAGTCGTATCTAAAGTGAATGTAAACAGACGTGCCAAAAAATCGGATATGGTCAAAAGATCGGATCTGTGCATTAAGACTTGCAGTGTAAACGCAGCCTCTGTAGTGTGTCTCTATGCCCACATACAGTCCAACAGTCTGGGACCACTAGTGAAAATACAAGTTAATGCAATTTTTGTCATGCTAAAATGATATTATCAGCCTCAGTTTGAGCAAAACACTGAAGTGGAAAATTATCACCAATTTCAGGATGTCGTGAGTATTTGATTTTCCCCCTTTTGCTTTAATGACAGCAGTTTGAGCTTCATAAGTTCCACGAGTGTGTGTGAATCATCAAAACTCGTAGCTTTTCACTTTTCAAGATTTCAGAATCAGAAAGGGCTTTATTGGCAAGTATGTTTACACACACAAGGGATTTGTCTTGGTGACAAATGCAGAAAAAATACATGCATTGGTATTAAGGCAATTAAATGAAATATAACACAATAAAGACAATGCAATTAAATCTAATACAATACAGTAATAAAATATAGAAAATACACAATTGTACAATTCTGTGAAAAACATCTCAAAACTTTGCATGTGAAAAAAAGCATGTCTGTTTAAGATGTCTTTTTGTCTCTTTCTCTGTATCTTGGTTTTTCTCTGTATCTCTGCCTCTGATCGTTGTGGTGCTGTTGGTTGGTGGTCTTTCAGTCTCTCTCTCTCTTGCAGAGAGTGGCAGCAGTAGTACAGACTCTGCCTGTTATTTAGCGCAGCACTTTGAGGACAGAGACCAGACTAGTGAGTGGGAGCAGCACATGGATAATGTGAATCATTCCTACCTCTTGTGCTCCCTTGATAACCTTCTTTCCCAAATACACAATCCCTCTTGCACCCAGACATCAGCACAGTCCAGTGATCATGTAAATGTACACTATCATTCAAAAGTTTGGGGTCGGTAACATTAAAAAAAAAGGAAATGTTTTTGAAAGAATCTCTTAGGTCACAAATGCGGCGTCTAATTGATCAAAACACTGTAATATTATGAATATGTGACCCTGGAGCACAAAACCAGTCTTAAGTAGCACAGGTATATTTGTAGCAATAGCCAAAAATACATTGTATGGGTCAGAATTATCGATTTATCGATCTTTTATGCCAAAAATCATTAGGATATTAAGTAAAGATCATGTTCTATGAAGATATTTTGTAAATTTCCTACCGTAAATATATCAAAACTTAATTTTTGATTAGTAATATGCATTGCTAAGAACTTCATTTGGACAACTTTAAAGGCGATTTTCTCAATATTTAGATTTTTTTGCACCCTCAGATTCCAGATTTTCAAATAGTTGTATCTTGGCCAAATATTGTCCTGTCCTAACAATGATGTATAAATCTCAATTTAAAAAAATCGACCCTTATGACTGGTTTTGTGGTCCAGGGTCACATATATGTTAAAATGTAATTTATTTCTGTGATCAAGGTTGTCAAAAAGTGTCACATGATCCTTCAGAAATCATTCTAATATGCTGATGTGCTGCTCAAGAAACATTTCTTACTATTATCAATGTTAAAAACAGTATTTTATGTTGATTTTTTTTTTTGTAGAAACTGATATTTTCAGTAGTTTCAGGATTCTTTGATAAATAAATGGTTCAGAAGAACAGCATACATATATTATATTATATTATATTATATTTAATATTAATAAATGTCTTTACTGTCACTTTTGATGAATTGAAAGCGTCCTTGATGAACAGAAATATTAAATTCTTAAAAAAAAAAAAAACATATGGACCTCAAACTTTTGAATAGTAGTCTCAGCCCACACTGTCTGATGCATATTAGATAAATTACATTAAAAAAAAAACTTGAATTGATCTTGAATGCTCAAGCTCCAACGCAGCACCCGCTGCTAATCATAAAATCTACCCATCTTCTAATAACTTTTAATAAACGACACAAATTAAATTATTCAGCAGTCTAGCCTTTATTTTAATTAGCATAAAACAGATGTGTAATAACTTGAATCAGTGGGTAGCAGACTCGGTGACACAGCATAAGCTGAATATAGGACACATTCACGTCTTCTGACAGGAACTCTATAAATGGTTCAGGCATCACCTCTTTCAGTAAAACTGGCATCTGATTACTTCATGTTTATCATCTTCCTTTCTGGTGCATCTCACAGTTTCTCTCTGCATCAGCCTAATGATCAGTGACTGCGGTCTTATTTCACACAGACCCAAACTGCAAACCTGAGTCCTCGTTAAAACACATTTAGATGATGATATGATATGTGCTTCTGTTTTCTCTCTTCTTGTGCAATGTGCTGGCCATGTGACTTCTCTGCTCTAAATTCAAGACACAAGAGGTTGGTGTTACAATCTCCTCATCAGCCCAACCTCATGTCACCTCCAGACTATAGACATTTACCCTGAGTTTTACTGTCCCACATATGAGATTGTCAGACAGAACAAAAACTTTCTTAAGTTTTAAAATAAGGTGTGTGAAATTTAAAGGTGCTGTATGTATTTTTTTGGACAGTACTAAAGCATAAAATTACTAATATGTTTGCAGATATTTAGGAAACATGCTAAGTTCACATGCTTGTTTTATCTGAAAATCATGCTACAGCCAGTTACTCTACTTTGAAATGTGCGTTCAGTGTCGGAATGTCTGTTTTTGTTTTGGTCTGTGTGACTCCGCCCACTGCCAGTTTAACCAATAGTATTTCGACACCCCGGGTTGCCAGTTGGTGGAAAACACAGCGTATTGCAGCCAAGGAAGCCAGCAAATGAACTGAGTCAGAGATCGCAGATTCAACCCGACCTAAAAAGCCTCGGCATCCATCTAAAAAGCTCTGTGACCAGAGGAATATTAAAACACAATAAATCAACTCATTAACTTACAGTGTAAGGCTCATCGTCTTCCATTGTCAATTGCTCTCATTCCTGTTTCTCGTCCTCAATCTGGCAACCTGTGTGAGTGTCGAGTCTGAGAAGGAGGGGTGGGAGAAATAACTCTTTCCAATATTTTGAATTTGGACTTTAGTAGCTGTCAGCCATTAGCAATTACATACAGCACCTTTAATTCAATCACTGACAGTGGATATTGTCAGATCTCTAATGTGTCTAATTGATCTCCAAGCTAATTACAGCTCAGTTTGGCATCTTATTTTCCTGCTCCTCCCTCAGTCACAACTGCTCTGAGATCATTAAAGCTTCTTGCTGACCATCAAAAATGTATAAAACCTGCCAAGTTACCTGTTTTCATTTTAAAATGGGTTTTAATGTAAAATAATTTAAAATCAGAAGATTCTGAAAAACAAGGGGAAGGTGAGATTGTTCAGATGAGTCAAGCTGGTTGAGAAAGAAATACTGAGCCCTGTATTTTCATAGGGTTTCTTAAACTAGGATGTTTGCATTTTTGTGAGGAAAATGCAGAGGGTTTGTGAGTTACGCTAAGAATAAATTAAATCATTAAAATGTATAAATAATAAATAATTGTAAAATAAAACCAGATCTCAAGATAAAACACTTACTAAAGTGTTTACATGCACAACATGTCACCAGTAACCTACATCAGTGAATTGTGAACATGCAAATGTGTTGTTAAATTATTGAAATATTAACTTCAAGTAAATATTTTAGGTAGAAGGGATTCAGCTGCCAAAATGTTTAGGAGTCCCTGTATTAGTGCCTCAATGATTAGGTAACATTGAGGATGAGTAAAATCTATTGACATTTTTTGCAGCCACCAGTGAATGCCACATGTTTGTGATACTAATATAATTTCCATTTCCTTAATGCGCAATATAATTTGTCTTTTTTTTTTGGGTGGATATAAGACCCAAGCATTTCATTGGGGAAATTCACCCATAAATGACCGCAATAAATCACATTGTCATCCACCTTTGGACACCTCACATGAAAAATGTTGCAACAACAAAGCTCACAACAGGTTTACTGTGCAAACATTGCATCAATCTACAGTGCTGGGTAGTAACTGATTACATGTAATCTGGATTACATAATCAGATTCCAAAAATGAAGTACTTGTAATTAGAGTATGTTTTAAAATGCTCATAATCAGATTACAGTTACTTTTTTTAAGGATATTATTCACACAATAGCAGTAAATTATTCTTAATTATTTGATTCACCCCAGTTCTTATTTGTTTTCTTTCAAATTTTCCTTTCTAATTGAAACTACTACATATAAATGAGACTAAACATTATGCAAGTTGCTAAACACTGCCAACACATAGCTGTGAAATATGTCTTCTTCATATGCATTTACTAATTATTAATATTGGAAGTCTGGACAAAAATATTTCAAACCTGGAAATTTTTTTTGGCCATGTAATGTCATGTTTTGCATGCTTATTAATGTTTGTTCATGTAATGTAGGGATTCCCAAGCTTTTGTCATTTTATTAATTATTAGCTTTTCATGAATGCCTTACAGCTTTTTCATAAACCCCTGCCATTTAATGCATTTTTTCCCTCTTTTGTTTTTTTCCCATTAGTATGGTATGCAGTAATCACATTCAAGTCTATGTGATGATCGAGTTGGGTCAGAAGTAATCAAAAAGTAATCAGACTACATTACCTTATTGTGTGTAATCCAGATTGTTACTAACTTAAATTTTCATCATGTGAATTTTAATCCGTAACAGACTACAATTTGTTAGTAATCCACCCAGCATTGCATATGAAATATGTGGAAATACTTGATGTAATGTTTATGGTGCCTTGTGAGCAGTATCAGTCACCAGCTTACAGAGAAACTGGGATGTATTTCAGTGGGGTAAGAGATCGCTTGCTAACTGTGCTAGCTTGCATCCGATGCAACATTATTTCTCCTGCTACTGTGTACTTGCATAATGCACAAGTGTTTCTTCTGAGGCTTTTATCTGTTTTTATATCTGTGTCATGCTAAGGGAGGAAGAAGGTGTCTCCTGACAAGTTGGTGGAGATGCAAGCTAAGATCGAAGAGGAGCGGAAAGCACTGGAGGCCAAACTGGACATGGAGGAGGAAGAGAGGAACAAAGCACGTGCAGAGCTTGAGAAGAGAGAGAAGGACCTTCTCAAAGCCCAGTAAGTCATTGAATCTGTCCAACAGACCTGTTGTCTATCTATATATATAGAGCCAATATAGTATAAGTGTAGGAGTATAATAATGGCATGCTTTGTGTTGTTTCCTGCATCTCAGACAGGAGCATCACTTACTACTCGAGAAGCTGTCTACTCTGGAGAAGAGGGTTATTGTTGGAGGAGTTGATTTACTGGCTAAAGCCGAGGAGCAGGAGAAGCTTCTGGAAGAATCCAACAATGAACTGGAGGAGAGGAGGAAGAGGGCCGAGCAGCTCCGGAGAGAACTGGAAGAAAAGGAGGTAGAGCTGAGCGGATTCATGCTTGACCGATATTCTTGTATGGTTTTATCATTACATAGTGATTCATGTCTGCAAATGTCTCTAAACAGCAAGAGCGCTTGGACATCGAGGAGAAATACACCAGTTTACAGGAAGAAGCTCAAGGCAAGACCAAGAAACTGAAGAAAGTGTGGACCATGTTGATGGCAGCAAAATCGGAGGTGCAGTAAATTTCATGTAGCTTTCAAATAGCACAGTTCACAATTGTGTACAAGTATAATTTTAAAAACGTAACGATACCAGCGTTTCTGCAGTACCTTGAACTAGTCAACATAAAAATGTAACTGCTACATGATTCAAGTAGCATTTTCTTTATTAACCGTCTAGTTGAAGAAAGTGCAGCACACGTGAAGTTCCACATGGTGTAAATGTTAAACAAATCACTTGATAAATATCTTTGCAGAAAAGATGCATGAAATATGAAGGCACATAAACCTATGTTTAGAAATAATATAAGAAAAATGCTAAAAAAAAGTCTTAAAATTCAAGGTAATTAAAATTCAAAATGACTAAAAGTGAAACACAAGGAGATTATTATTAACTATAAATGTTTATAAAAACAAAGAAAATAACAGCAGCCAGTCAGCATCATGCAGACATGAAATATCCGACATACAGAATATTTACAGGTATACAGTTATTTACAGGTTTATGTATTCCACTGCTTTTCCACTGCTGCTAGTGTGTATATATATATATGCATAATTTGCAATGAACTTCATGTGTTTCTTTGTTGTTTCATTACTTTCATTTTATCTTTAAATGCAATGTTTACATAATTGAACAATATTTGAAGGCTACTTACTAATGTTTTAACGTATTATGTGTTTAGAAATATTAATAGCATATTCTTATTTTCAAATAATTAAATTTTTTTTAGGAAAAAAAAACCAATTAAAATAAAAGGGTTACAAAATTTTTGCAATTGTACCAAAATAGTACTGAGTACTGTTGAGTTTAACTGGTACTGGTAACCGACTACTGAACTTTTGGTATCGAGACTGTAGTAAGTGAGACTCACGCCACCAAAGACATTGTGATTTTTGGGTCACACGTCACTCAAGGTGCGGTTATGAGTATATCAGATGACCAATTCCCACCTGGCTCAGTTCAGAGCGCCAGTCAAGGACTGTTACTTATGGGGGTGCTCCCCACAAGCGGTTCAACAATTTGACATTCACAAACTGGAGGGAGTTGGTCAACTGATTTATCTGAAACATTGGTGGTTTAGATAGCTAGTAGAGCCTTGGATCATCAACACAAAGAAGACACAATTGTAATAAGATTAGTAACATTTATTAACAATAGATTAGGGCTAAGTTTTGAAACAAATTTCACGATTCGATTCTCATTCACAAGCTTTCGATTCGATTCGATATTGATTATTTTGGATATATATATATCAGGTACAGTACATGCCAAAGTTTCTCAAGGAAAAAAAATCTCTCAACTAATGCTGTAAAGAGTCAATTGGTACTACATTATAATATTCATTTCCTAAACCTCAGGATTGGGTGTGATGGTGAGGGTCAACCCGTAGTCCAATGAGAAGTCCTCTTTTAGGTGGTCGTGAGTGCTCGAGGTGTCTGGCAGTTGTCTTGTCATCTTATCTGATGGTTCTGAACCTTTGTTTATGTTCCTCCACCAAGATCCAATCACAGTGTGGCACATCTCCCCCCAGTTAGAGAGGGGCCCTGCCATTAAACTGGTCCTTGGAATGCCAATTTGTTCACTACAAGACAATACTAGTTTATGTTGGTACTCTGGTAAGAATGTCTGCTGTTTCAGATGGCTGATCTGCAGCAAGAGCATCACAGAGAGATTGAAGGTCTGCTGGAAAACATCCGGCAGCTGAGCAGAGAGCTGCGGCTACAGATGCTCATCATTGATAACTTCATTCCTCAGGAATATCAGGTCTGTATTTGTGCTCATGCACGTGCACTGTCAGCCAAAACTTTAGACAAACCTCCTCATTCTTTCTTGTTGGCATGTTTTAGAATAACAGTGAAGTGATCAAATAATAGATACAGAAATACAGGAATTACTTAGTGATCAAAACGTTGATAAAGATCTCCTAGTTCAGCTTCATTAAACCACCCTTTTTCAAGATCACAGGAAAACCCTCCCATATGTGCATGTCAAATGTCTTTGTCTGACATTTACATATTACCTTGAATTGTGTAATGTTTAGTCAAGCTAATCTAAATGTAGTTTTAGGCTTTTTAGGAAGAATGGTCCAGTTTAAAGTCGCAAAATCAGAGCAAAACGACTTAAATTCATGAAGTTACAAAGATTAATGTCTTCCTCTGTATTTTTGTTTTCTAATACAAACATCCTTAAAACGAGATAATTTTACTTGAGGTGCAAATTTAAAATTAAGTCTTTAACTCGGTTTATGTTTAAAACAAGAACAAACATCATCAGTCAGTGGGGTATGAAAACTTTTTTATCCTTTAAATCAAGTAGATTTTTCCGAGCCAGTTGGCAGATATTTAGATAGAAGTTTTTATTTATGAATTCACTTCATTTTGATTAATTTTAACTTCTTTTTTGTCGTTTTGCTCCAAGTACATGTTTGGTGTATTCAATTCATTCCTTAAATTTTCTTTACTTGGTCTTAAAAAGGACTTTAAACAAATCTTAAATTTACGTTCGTTTAACCTGCAGAAACCCTGTTTTAATCACTGAAGTATTGTGTTTCTCTCCGTTTCTTGTTTCTCCTGCACCAACACAGCGCTTCAGGATGCTGCACTTGCATAAATAAGCATGCAAATCATTTTTTGCTTTTTCCCCCTTGTCAGGATTTGATTAATCAGATATTTTTTGCTGATAATATAAAGTGTGAAATGCTGCACTTGCACAATAAAGGCGAAAATGTCAAAACTGAGCTAGCACATTAACTGTACAGAAAGTCTTAAAGAGATACCCCATAAATGATCCTTCTGTCATCATTTACTCTTGATGCCGTTCCAAACCCGTATTACTTTGTTCTGTGAAACATAGAAGATATGAAGTGTTGTTTTTTTGGTCAGCACCGTGGAAATCAGTGGTAACCAAAGTTAAAATATATTATTATAAATAGCTGTTTAAAATATATTGTTTTTTTTCTGCAGAATAAAGAAACTCATACAGGTTTGGAGCCAGACTTTTCATTTTTGAGTGAACTTTCCCTTTAAGAATCGAATATTTCAAATGCAGTTCAATAAAATAATGAGCTGCCTTTGCTTATTTACTCTCAGAGTTTAATACGAGTTTCAAAAGTCCCCAAAAGAACATTCACAATATCTGAACTTCGCTTAATATTTATCTCAGCGTTTCAGCTGCACTACTATTAAAACATGCAAACAACATCTTTTTTTGTTGTGTTGTGTTGTGTACAGGAGATGATTGAGAACTATGTGCACTGGAATGAGGACATTGGAGAATGGCAGCTGGTGAGCGTCTTTAACACATTTCATTCTGCACATGATGTTTGGGTGCAATGAAAATATATAATACAGCTGATGTATTTGCTGTTTTTTAGAAATGTGTGGCCTACACCGGCAACAACATGAGAAAACAGACACCTGTGTCGGACAAGAAAGAAAAAGATGTAAGCATCCGTTCAGATCTACTGAGGCACACATGATGCACGCTGCTCCCTTTTCATGTTTCATTTTTGTCCGCTGTCCTTCTTTTGTGATTCAGCCGTTTGAAGTGGACCTGTCCCATGTTTATCTGGCCTACACTGAGGAGAGCATGAGACAGTCCCTGATGAAACTAGAAAGGCCTCGGACATCAAAGAGTGGAAAGTCCAGGCCTAAAACTGGTCGTAGGTGAGGTGTGATGCTTCGTTTTATTTTTGGACTTTCTGGTTCACGCCTTTGCACACACAAATGCATCTGACTGTTACAACTAGTTACAGTTAAATAATCGTTCAGTTTAGTTTAATACGTGATGCATTAATAAGTTGTATGATTTTAGATGTTGTATACAGGTATATGTAATTGCTGAAATGGGCACTATAAGCATATATAAAAATTGTCCAAAATTATATATATATATATATATATTGAATGTATTGAATTATTTCATGTAGTAATAATAATAAAGCATGTCTCTTTGGAGTTGAACATGAGTGATCCTGAGTCAAACATCACTGCATTTCTTTGCAGTTTGGCATCTATATGTTGTGAATTTTTTTTTTTTTAAGTCTCTTATGCTCACAAAGTTTGCATATATTTGATCCAAAAAAACTATTATTATTATTATTACAAATGATACATTTTAAATAAATATAAATATTGAAATATCTGTTTTCTATTTAAATATAGTGAAAAATGTAATTTATTCCTGTGATCAAAGCTGAATTTTTAGCATCATTACTCATGTGTCACATGATCGTTCAGAAATCATTCTAATATGCTTATTATATTTGCTGCTCAAAAAATATATTTACTATTATTATCAATGTTGAAAATAGTTGTGCCACTTAATATTTTTTGTGAAAAACCAAGATATATATTTTTTTTCAGGACACTTTGATGAATCGAAAGTTCATAAGAAAGAGCAGTATTTATTTGAAACCGAAATCTTTTGTAACATTATAAATGTCTGTCACTTTTGAACAATTTCAGCAATTATGAATTGAAAATGTAAATGCAAACCTCTTTAGATCATCTAAATGACATCATTTTTGTCATGTGCATATATTTTTGTCTAAATGTCTTTTTTCCCCAATCTCATTGTTTTTAGGAAACGTTCCTCCAAGCCAGAGGCTGCGATTGAATCCCTGCTGCAGTGAGCCTTGTGTCTGATGAAGACCACCATATTTTGTGCATTTTCAAGGCCAGTCCAGTATATGTCTTAGGAAATACTGATTCTTGTGACATTAAGGCACTTTGACATAAGTGTATATGAAAATAAATCGTGTGTTAATATGCAGGAACTCCAAAGCTGCTTCAAAGCTGGGTTTAGGTGAGGCTAGTTTGCTGTAAAATGTCTGTTAATGATACTCCAAAAGGCACATTTCACCTTTAACATAAACACTGTTACTGTATATTCTGCTTTACACTGATGGCTGGGGCGAGCGAGTTATTGATCCGACACAAGTGATGAGCTTGCCATCAGGGAATATGCTATTGAGAAACTAATCGAATCTTAAAGTTTTATACAGTTGGCAGCGTGCAATTGCTTTAGCTCAGTGTACACAAGCTGTGCTACTTTTTTCTTTTACATATATAGTGAGAATGTGCATGCCATGTTCCCCTGGCTGTGGTGCCATTAGCTCAGTTTACTCTTATTGTAATGTATTTCCATTGTGCCCCCCCCCCCCCCGTACTCCTCTTTAAATTATTAAATTATTTTACAAAGTAAAAATAGTAGTGTTTTTTATTAATAATAATTTCACATTTCAAAAACAGCAAACAAAAAAATCAGTTTAGAATAATTTTATTCATAAATACAATAAATATATAAATATGAGCAGTACCTAAATATATTTAATACAAAATAATTTAATATTAATGTTAAATTTAATACAAAATAATAATACAAAAATATAGTATTGTGTTCCTAAGAAGTAAGTCTAGAGTCATTTCACGTGTCTTTTATGCTTGAGTTTAGAGTATAGTTCTTGGCAGCATTTTTGGATTTTTGTCAGAAAAACTTCCATTCTGTGTTCCTCTGAAGCTGGAACGCTGCAGTGATGGTGCTGTGGAGAAAAAAAAGAGTCTAAAGTCAGTCTATAAATCTAAAGTTGTAGGCATAGCTAATTCTCTGAAGCTGTAAAACAGATGTTATTTAAACTGATTATTAGTAACTATATTGTGTTATTTCCTCTGCATGTGCCACTGTTCAGTCCGGAATCCTGTGAAAATCTTAATTGAATCAGTAGTCAGTTAAGTTAAGCTTAGTTAAGTCTGTCGTTAGTTATGTTAAGCTTAGTTATGTTGGACTTAGTTAAGTCAAGCTTAGTTAAGTCAGTCGTTGGATATGTTAAGCTTAGTTAATTCTGTCGTTAGTTATGTTAAGCTTGGTTAAGTCAAGCTTAGTTAAGTCAGTCGTTAGATATGTTAAGCTTAGTTAAGTCTGTCGTTAGTTATGTTAAGCTTGGTTAAGTCAAGCTTAGTTAAGTCAGTCGTTAGATATGTTAAGCTTAGTTAAGTCTGTCGTTAGTTATGTTAAGCTTGGTTAAGTCAAGCTTAGTTAAGTCAGTCGTTAGATATGTTAAGCTTAGTTAAGTCTGTCGTTAGTTATGTTAAGCTTGGTTAAGTCAAGCTTAGTTAAGTCAGTCGTTAGATATGTTAAGCTTAGTTAAGTCTGTCGTTAGTTATGTTAAGCTTGGTTAAGTCAAGCTTAGTTAAGTCAGTCGTTAGATATGTTAAGCTAAGTTAAGCTTGGTTAAGTCAGTCAGACAAGCTTTGCGCTTCAGTTTGGTGATACTAGTGGGACAGAAATAACCGATAGTAGTGGAAAAATGGAAATGACATTTGATAATTTCTAAAGTGTAAGAATCATGCCGATAATATAGCATTGGTTTTTCACACAGAATGATACTCTAATAATACAGACACAGTATAGTAATCGTGTTGTTTATCATCTAATTCAACAAATTAATATTGTGAGATGACTTACCCCTGAATAATTAGCATAGGCAAACAGCCGCCTGTGTAGCATGCTGAGCTTTAGATTTGTGTTCATCATAACCATTGCTGCTTGGCAAAGGTGTTTCTCCTGTGTAACCATATGCAATGAATGATAATGAAATCAAGTATGTTCTCAAAAACTGTGATATAAAATTCAACTTACTGAGCAGCCCGCCGACGGCAATACGTCTTTTACAAATTGGTTGAGATTCTGTGTAAGAAAGTATGAAGTTTGCTAGAGAAAGAAAAAAAAAAGTTTGGCTCTTCAGATGAAATAAAATTTCAGTTCTTACCATCTTTGATCTTTGTTTTAGCATCACGTCCACATTCTCCATGATTTCCTCTAGGAGCTTTTCTCCCGCTTTACGTCGTCTTAATCCAGTGACAGCTACAATTGTCAGCACCAAGAGCATTAAAGTCCTCATGTTGGTTGTATTGATTCCTACTGAGGTCTGCAGTTGCTGAGATGGTCTTCATAGCTTCAGCACTGATCAGTCTTCTTATAGAGCTGACAGAGGAAGTGACATTCTCCTCCACAACCTTGATTCTGCTGATTACACGTCAAAGAAAAAAATCCCGAAATGCTTGCACACCCCCATAATCACTAATAGAGATTTCAGAGAATCGCGATAATGTTGAGCATCCCCTTAAAATGGAGGAGAGAGACACTATTAGCTCACTGTGCTTGAACTTAAAAGACTCCTGGGACCATCAGGCATTACTTATAAAAAATAACATTAATAATAATAATGCTAAAGTGTAATGCCTATGAAGGGAATCACCGCAGTCTGCCGCAGTCACTATTTATTAGTCATTTGTCTTAAATTAGACACTAATTCTGTCCAGTGTTGTAGCAACAGATTCCATTAATGCAACACGAGTGCAGATTGTCTCAGATTGTTGTTGTCATAAGGCTTCATCATCAGGTGGTTTCTGAAGTAACTGTTTGCCACATCCCTTTGACCTTCTTTCGTCCTTAAGAGGATGGACAGACAGACAGTATACACGTACAGTGATGTAAATGAACCAATGAAGACACCACACAACCACAACAGATTATTGTTTTATCAAGCTGTGCCACAGCATTGCATGTCAGCACCTTTATCTAGGTCACATTTAGCATTTTGGGAAAATAATGACAGGTTACCGTTTTATTTAGATGACATCGTTCATTAATTAGGGTGCTTTGACACTTTTTTTGCCATTGAGATGACTTAGCATAAAATGTCTCAATTAACCCTGGATAAATATGAACAAAAGAACAATATCAAGAACAGAGGGAATGTATTGTTGTTTCTGTTGTTTATTATTTCTATACTGTTACCATGTCATGAAAAAGGGAATTTTGAGAACCCCCTCTCCAATCCAAAAACAAGCCAACTAGCATCAAAATTATCTGAGTTTTTCCATCATGTGCCATATATATACCATAGCGGTTACTGTCTGATCTTCATGTTTTTTTTTTTTTTTATTGTAATTTTTTAAGCATTATCTGTCTATATTGGAAATTTTGTTGAGGGCTTTTGTTTCCCTTTATTTTTAGCTTTAAATTGTTTTTAGTCATTTGATACAAACTAAAAGAGAGAACTAGTTCATGGCAATACTGTTATTGTTTACTGAATTAAAAAAAAATCGAAATAAAGGCAAATTAAAATAAAGCAAACATATTAGATTTAAAAAAAAAAGACGTAAATGAGAAATGTAGCCTGGGCAACTAACTGAAATAATGTTTAAGTTTAGAATACTAAAATTAAAGCTGAAATATACTGCATATGAGCTGCATTGCCATAAAATAGTTATCTCTTAAAGGTGACACATCATGAAAATCTGACTTTTCCAGGTGTTAAGTGCTATAATCAGGTCCCCGGTGCATCTACCAGCCAAGGAAAGGTGAAAAAGATGAACCCAGTAACTTTGTTTTGGGAAGCCTTTTTCTGCAAGCATCTGAGAAAACGAGCCCGTCTGATTTCGCTCCCTTGGTGACGTGGCAAAGGGATCTCATAATATTACCACCCCTTAATCTGTGAGTTTACACCCACGGCGCCGTCATTTTGATTTCGCAAGCGACCCAACGGTGTACCAGCTCTAATGCCATGGAGAAAGTTTGAGCAAAACACGCTAACTGTTCTGCCTTTGGTTGCACAGACAAGCACAGAACACTATTTAGAGTCCCAGCCTCAGAGGAGACGAGACAGCAGTGGATTTATTGATTTATTTACTGTATATTGCTGCTGCCACACAGATCTAAAACAAATATGCGATATATTTCCCAGCTGTTAACATTCACAGACATAACCCACTGTTTTTGTAACTCATGTGTGTTTTTAACGTAAACTTGTGTGTGAATGAGAACTTAGTTTAGTACTCACTCACATGCTGTGACAGCCGCTTTCTGTCCGTGTGCTTCGGATATGTGCACTCAGAAAACCTTATATCTGAAGTTTAAACTCATATGGTTTAAAACTCATGATTTCAGCACGATAAACATGATAATCAGAACCAAAACAGATGGTTTTAGCAGGTCCAGCTGTAAAGGCGCAGCTCTATTCTGGAAAAGGAGGCGGGGAGCAGCAGCTCATTTGCATTTAAAGACACAGGCCCGAAAAACAGTGTGTTTCTGCTTCCACTCAAAATAGGCATTTTCAAAATGATATAATAAATGATCTGTGGAGTGTTTTGAGCTGAAACTTCACAGACACATTCTGGGGACACCTGAGACTTATATTACATATTGTAAAAAGGGGCATAATATGCCACCTTTAAATCAATATATAAACTAATAAAAATGACAAAAGCTCATAACAAAAATAGAAATGAAACCAAAAAATTAAAAACTCAAAATATTAAGTAACACTATCATAGTATAATAACACAATTTAACCCTGTAGACAACTTTGCTGCAAGTGTACCATCTCTGAAAGGGTATGTTTTGTGTGTGTGTGTGTGTGTGTGTGTGTGTAATGATTGATTTTGCGTGTGTGTGTGTGTGTAATGATTGTGTATGCTTTATGCACAAAAATAAGCTCACAGTCTTTCCAAATCTTACTTTGAATTTTTTTTCTTTTAAACTTTACTTTAGAGGATCTTTAAAAATGTTTTCTTTAGTACTTCAAGCTTTTCAGAATTTAAATTAACAGAAAATTTTCGGAATTTTTGCTGGATGTATTGTGAGGCGGAGCTACATGTAAGCTCCACCCATTTGCTCTGCAGTGAGCAGCTTCTCCGTCGGCTATTTATCAGTTATTTTCTATAACATGAAAATAATGATCAGCTTGTTAGTTTTAGCCAGAATTTTAACACGAGTGCAGCCGGTGACACTGAGAAACATTCTATCTGCTTGTATAAGCATATGATCCTTTTAAAGATTTGTATATTTTAATAAATCCAGTGCTGTAGATGATGGTGTATCTGCAGAGGGTGCTGTCGCTCCATTGTCCCTCTACATGTTCAGTTTGACACCTGCTGTCACACATCCTCAGCTTCATGACACATGCCATTACTTGTGAAAATGAAGAATGAGAGTTTTCACATATCATTATTACATTCATTCATTCAAGCACACTAAAGAGAAATGTAACTCAATTTACAAAGGCTTGCATTAAGTCATTCAAACTTTATTTATTTTTTTGTAAATGTGTGATGAAATACATTTTCATGGATGCCTTTATTTT